TCTCAGAGACAGACTGGCTCCACCGCCCCCAAGCAACTTCTCCATTGGCAAACAGCACCTTCATCTTCTCTGGGCTCAGCTTCAGTTTATTAACCTTCATCTATGCTGGTGAAGGCACCAGGCACCAATTTAGGAATTTCGTAGGATACCTTCACCAGGCACCAATTTAGGAATTTCGTAGACCCACCTAGCTTAGGTGTTAAATAGGTGGTGCTGCCTCACACCAAATCTCTAGATGACCTCTCCTAGCAGTTTCGTGTAATATTAATAAGCATGGAGGAATGAGATGGAACCCTGGAGGACCCCATACCAGGGTTCTGAGCAGCTTCTGATAAAAGCCCCCCAGGACTACCTTCTGGAATCGGTCAAGAATAAAACCGCCAAAGTATGGTGTCCCCCTGCCCACTCCCAGTTCTAGGCTTGGATCGACTGAAGCGTTTTTGCTGATGGATTTCTGTGCATAAAACATTTGCTTGCATTGGGAGGGGGTGGCGTGAAAGACACGCTTCCTAGGGTGAAGACTACAAGCCAAAAAGAAATTGTGAACCCAAGGTAAAATGGTCAGTGTGGCAGATAAAAAAGTACAGGCTGAAAAGGCCTGCTCATGGGTCCTTACCCATTGCACCTCATTACCCCCAACATGCCACTGCCATAGATGACCTTGGAGTACGGGTTCATATTGGTAGATGCAGGCCTACATGCCTTTGTGGCCAGTTGACTAAGGTCTTCAAAGGTCCAAAACAGCACTTTCAATGTGGGCATAGGAAGCTAGGGAAGTGGATACAACCCTGGTGTTCTATATCCCTTGTGGCCACTGCATTTTGTACCACCTGAAGCTTCTAAAACTCTGCAAAGGTAGTCCCATGTTGAGTGTGTTGCCATAATGTAGGCTGGATGTTAAGTGTATGTTAAGTCAGAAATTGCCACAGCTGAGCTTCAAAACTCCTGTTGCTTCCGTCACTCGCAATCTTCAAGATTCTCTTTCAGGATTAGCACATGAACAAAATCCAAGCAATTTAAATAATTAAAAATCACTGGTTTTCAAGGAAATGTGGTATGCTAGTAAAATCATGACACTTCTAGTTTCCCCCATAATTTTTAAAATAAAGGTGTAAGATTAAAAAAACAACCCCTACATTAAATCAAACATGTAAAAACAAGGCTAAATTGTCTGCCATAATTTGGAAATTTGTTTAGGGTTATCTCAAGTTAGTAATTAACCTCCTGGGGTACTCTTTAATGTACAAATGCATACAAAGAACAGTTTGTCCATCATTGTTGGCTCAACATGCACCAGGTTAATGAAAGCTACATGAAAATTCATCTGCCTGCAAAGTCAAAACAACATTGTTCCACTCATTGCTGCCAGAGGGGAGAAGTGAAGGAGGAGCAACTGAGCTCTCTCTGGGGTAAACTTGTTCTCTCTAAATAGGTATTAAAAAGCCGGGGCAGAGCCACAATTGCCAAAGGGACCCTGACTCTTAACCCATTGCTTGCTGTCCCTAAAGTTCGACAGCCTTTTGAACCTACCCCTATGATCAGGGCAAGGCCAGGAAGTTTTGGTTTCACCATATGTGCTGAAATGAATAGGCACTTTGGTTCTTTTAAAAGGCATCAGCGTAAGTTGATGAGATGGCTGGTCGGCATTCATCCTCCAAACCAGTCTATGGAATTCCTTGACATAAAAAAGAACTATGGTTAAGTCAGGGAGGACATCAGAAGTATAACGTAATTAGAAAGCTGCTGCTGTCACTACTTTGTTCCTCCAGGGCATTCCACCACCATCTTCAGTAAGTGGTGTGCCTTTGTGTTTTGGGGTGGGGAAGAATTTTGCCAGGTAAGAAAAAACACTTGCATTCAGTTCTTCTTCAGGAATAAGTTTACTATTATGTAGCAGATTTTATCTCTTCCATTGTTCTTGGAAGTGGATAACTTTCATTGGATTCATGAAAGGTTAATAAGAAATACTTACATCTTTAAAAAAGTAGAATGAGCACTGTGCTGGATTGTAAATGCATGCTAAATTCAAACCCTCTTTCTAGGTTTTGTGATCGTCTGGTAAGCCACATCAAATAACCACTCTTCCTGATTCATAATAGGGCAAAGGCTGAAGTTGGTTGACAGCTCCCCATTCTGAACATCTCCAAAGCAAGCTTTGGGCCAATCCACATTATATACCTACAAGGAATAAGGCCCATTGTGGAAATAAATACGAGCTCTAGAAAGAAGCTCTGGGCCGGTACCCTGGCCTTGGGCACTCAGAGTCAATTTGCTGTGGCAACCTCAGCAGGGTATAATGACACAGAGTCCACTGTTTTCTCCAGGGGAACAGATCTCTGCCATCTGGAGAGCAGTTGTAATTCTGAGTGATCTCCAGCCTTCACCTAGAGATTGGCAACAATAGTTTCCCAGGAGGAAATGGCTGGTTTGGAGGACAGTTTCTATGGCATTGTACCTGTCTGAGGTCCCACCCCTCCTCAACCCCCACCCTCTCCAGGCT